GTTATACAATAGAAAGACACGAAAGAAACAGTATTCTAGAGAAAGTTAACCCCTTTATCTTCGTAGTAAAAAGAAAAAAATTAACAAAAATCATTACTATGAATTATCAGTCAAGACTTTTCTTCCGGATTTGTTTACAAACGTATGACTTTACTACCCACTCTCATAAGCATGCATATAGAGTAGAGAGGCTAATCTCTTTATCTTCAACCAGCAGAATCGCAGACCTAACCACAGTGTACTTACCTGATTTGTATCCCCGCAACTATGCAAGAAAATTATCTCATCCCCACTTGAATATTATACCTTCGTTCAGTCATTGTTCTTGATAACAGTACAATTTACACCGGCCCATAGGCTAACACAGAACCACTCGGTTTTTTTTTGTACTGTACTTGTCTAATATAAGGAAAACCCAAAGGGTTAAAACCATTTATCTTCATAATTGACAATATTGAAGAGTTGGAGTATTTCTTTACCTTTAAAAAAGAATCGATATATTTAAATGGCTTTGATCTCGATGATAGATAAAGTTATTTGTTCCATTTTATTCGCCTTTAAAGGAATAAAATGTCGTTTAAAACATAAGATTAATGGTGAAAATAGCATCTAAAACTGTAAATTTGTATATTATACTAGAAATACTCTGATAGATTCATTTTTATACACCTAAATTGTGGTTCAAAACAATATTAGTGTATAGAAATGTATACTTTTGTACTAATTTAAATGAAAAGATATTAGAAATATTTACTTATATAGGCCTAATATATTATTTAAAACCGGTAATTTATATAAAGGATAGTCTTTAAAAGCATAAAATTATATATTATAATTGAAATATTGCCATATATTCAATTTTATAGACCAAAATTCCGACTTAAAACCGATATTATAACTTAAAGAAGAATCGTAATTATTCAGAAACGAATACTTTTATACCAATTTAAATAGGAAAATTTCAGAAAGATAAATGATATATGCGAAAACTTCTGACAATATTGTCTCGAAGACAACAAATGAAGGCAAGTACAAAGACAGGACTGCGAAACAGCATCTGGTCAATGCCAGGAATGCTCTACAAGAAAGTATTGGCATTATGCCTAACTGTAACAATAAGAAATTAGGAACCGTTGGCAACAATGGGAGTCTGCATACGAATAGATAGCGAGAGATAATATAAAAAGAATTGAATTTAATTACTGTATTACTTTGTAATTAGTCAAACAATTCGTAGCAATTGCTCTGCTAGTCTTAACTTTAATAATTAGGTGAATTTTTCGTACCATCTATTTTCGTTGCATTTATTTTGGGAAAACCACATTCACGCTCTTAAAATTGATGCTCCACATAAAAAATATAAAAAATTTAGAATGGGGTCTAAGACAAAAATCCAATTTCTTCGAGATAAAATATGGCGCAGGACTCGTAAATAATTAATCAAAAAAATGCCTTTTTTTTCTATTTACTTAATGCATTACACGCTTCGTCAATCACAAGATGGAAAATTTGGAAGTTTTGAAACATATCAGGAATTAAATTACTGTAAAAGCGGTACGTAGAGATGCTTTTTTAAAAAAATCTATTCTACAAACAAGAAAAAAAAAATTGGAGTAGTGGAATACAATTGTCGAGACGTGCCAATGTGACACGAGTATCTTCAGAAACGTTACAAAATTACACTTATTTCCTTGCGAATTACTTTAATTTTTTATTTAAAAAAAACACGCCTAAAGTATTTTTATGACGTTAAAGAATATGTTTTTTTTCTATATTTATATATAAATTTTATACAGTTTTAATTAATTAATTCTCAAAATTAAATAGCCCTAAAATCGCAGTTTGTCAAACGTGTTCCATTTTTATTCGAGGAAAATCTTAAATTTTAACTTTTAAAAATATATGTATATTTAGTTATCTTGTTTTATTTGCCCCACATATGAGTTTTTCTCGAGAAAAATCGGTTTATTTTATCGCGTTATATCCACAAAAGTAGTTACCTGAAAAAATGAGGAATTTATCTTGACTCTCTGGTAACAAGAAAAAAAATAAAAAAAAAAAAAGAGGAAAAGAAGGGGAAAAAGAAGTAGAAACGCACCTTCTTGCCCATCTCATTTTGGCAGCAAACTTTCAAACCGTTGAAAAATCATGATGTAACATCCACCAACACCAACTCGACTCGCAAAATAAACAATTAGTAAAATTTCTACCGCATAGAGAGAAACTCGTTGGAGAATTCGCTCCACCACCCATCAACTCCAACATGTTCTGACAATGATACATGCGCAAATGTTAAAGTTCAGGTGAACGTGTCATCATTACTTGACTTAACTCCAGACCGAAATGAAAAGAATAGAAAAAAATAAAAAGAAAAAAAAAAATTTGCGAGAGATTTAGAAACAAATGTTGGCTTTCTGCCCATTTAGAGAAGAAGATTTTTCCCCCTTTTCTAAAGTAAAACGATCTACACAAAAGTTAAAATTTAAGTCTTAACAAAGTTTCGGTTCGTTAGTCATATAAAAATAAAGTCTTTTATAAAAATAAATAGCGCAAACAACCATTCGTTTTCGTGCATCGTGATAGCTCGTCACGTAAATGATAGTCTACAAACGTGCTTTCGAGACATATCAATGAAAAGGCTTTGTATACGCGTAACTTACTACTTATTACTTGTCAATGGTTGTCGTCGCTGTTACGCCAATCTAACACTTTGTAATTGGAGATTATTATAAAAATTTTCGTATTAAATATTCGTTTAATTTAAAGAAAAATTGTAGTTATCTGTGGGATAAGATGTAAAGAAACCGTGCCGAGTTTTTATGGGTTTTTACGTCTATATTTAAATATGCACATGTCTTGAGTAAATGTTATACATAAAAATAAACTACTGAAAGGGTTTAAGTGTTAATGCTAAAAAAAAAAAAATCTTCTGGTAAAACAATGCCGTGTCATACACTATACAAAGGACTCGTGTCGTTGTATAATTAAAAAAAAATAGGCGTTTATTTCCTCTCGAAATTCGTTTTAAATTAAAAAAAAATAAAGAAATATAAGGTTAATTTTATGAAAATTTATTAATCTAGATAGTTCCTAACGTATTTAATTATTTAAAGTTCTCGATTAAATTGACTAAAAATGTAAATTTAATACATAAGCTTTACTTGCACACTTTACATAATTAATGTCCTGTATTATTAGAAATTTAACATTTATTTTCTATTAATAGAACTTATAAACTAATTAAAGTTAAAATTTAAGATTATCTCGAATTAAATTAATAGAAAATCGATTATATTGAGCCTATATTACTGTATTTTAGCCTGCAATGGGCCTATATTGAAAAAAAAATTATAATTTTCTTTCAATATAGCCTCAATTTCCTCGATAATTGTTTCATATTGAAGCTTAATACAGGCCTCATATAAAACAAAAATTTTTCCTGATTATAGATAAACAAATGACTAAATTTTCGAAAGGGAGTAGAAAAACTTGAGCTCTCTTCACGCGAGAAGACTATCTTAAATTATAATCTGGACGCTTGTTTTTTACTAATTCTTCTTATATTCCTATAAAATTTTCTTATCTTCTAGTCTATTTTACTTCTGTAGAATCACTCAACCATTTAAAACAACAACAACAGATATTAGATTTAATTTTATATTCCATTTTCTCACGTGTCTGTGATAGAGCATTTGGGAAATTAATTTAGGCCTATATTAAGACAATTTTGAAATTTTGAAATTAACCATTAGGCCCTATGATTTGTAGGGAATTTTTCTAAGAATATACTTCTTTCATTTGACAGAATGAAATATACTTTTTGCCTTATTTTAAGAGGTTGTTTACATGACAATCTCGACTTGCTTCTGAAGTGTTTTGGCAAGAATTTTTTCATCAGAAGTTTCAAAATCGATGACATTTTTCGTCTTTTAAGTTACGGGACTTCAAACAAAAGATTCTTTTCATCACGTTTTTATTTATTATCAACAGTGATAAGAAGGCAGATCGTAAATTTATATAGCAACTAACAGTTTTAAGCCATATTTACCTTTATTCCAGAATCGAATTACGTATAATCCATTATAGATTTAAAGATCTTGTCAAAATTCGATCGCTTTTAAAAAAATAAACAATCGTTTTTATTAATATTTTCTTATTTATTAAGCAAAAAAAAAAAAAAAAAAATGGGCTCGAATTTGAGTTCTATACGAGTTTATAATCTTATTTAAATGGCATCTCTCGATAATACCGAAGAAATTCTAATTATCAAAGTCTTATTTGATGATCTTAAAAAAAATCCATATAGATTTTCCTTTATAAATAATATGAGGAAATCCACTATATAAATTTTTAATTGAGGACATTTTCCATATTAAAAGAATAGCCTTCGATAATGTAAAATTTTATTTATCTTTCAAGGATATTGAGAAAATTAGCCTATTTTTCATATTGACATCTACTAAATTGTTATTTTTTCCGTCATTTAAAATGTATTTTTAATTAAAAATTTCGTTTATTTTATGTAAATAATAGATCCAAAGTCAATAGTTGTATCAGGTTATCTAGTAAGAACAATAGATTAAAATTATTCCATTGGAAAGGATCCAAAAAAAAAAAACATTGATTTTTTTAAGGTTTAGCTTATTAAATTATCGTTTTTTTAAGTGAAAATAAGCTTAAATTTTATATAAATATTACATTTTTTTAATTAGAATTTATTCAAAGAATCGATTAAAGATTTAAACACCGTATTTTTATGACTAAATGTGTGTAATTTTAAGCATTAACTAGCTGAGAAAAATCAGGATAATAAGCTTAAAAGATGTATCATTTCCATTAATAAAGGAATAAGTTGAAGATTGTTTAAATGATTCAACTTAATGATTAGGAGCCTAGGGGTATTCTGGATTGGAGTAATTCTATTCCAGTGTGCAGCTGCCGAAAGTTTATTAGAAAGTATAAAGTAGAATATGTCATCAATAGCTTACAAGGACGACTGTCAGGATAGGTTAAAAAACAAAATAATAATATAAAAACAAAAAAAAATCAATAAATCATGTCAAAGACAAGAATCGGTTTTAATTAAAACAATTATTATACACCCAGTATTTGGTTTTCTATACATACATCTATCATCGTTACGAATGATAATAATAAAATAATAATGGAACTTTAATAAATTATTCTCGTATTAAAACACACTGACACGAATACTTACCACTACCTATTGGTTCAAATAAGGAATCGGTAGGTGTTGCTACTACGTCATGAATGGCATAGGCTGTACCCAATACTGTAAATGGGCGTGTTGGGAAGGAGGAGAGTAGGACAGTCGCTTCTTGGTCACTGAGACACACTCACTCCACTAGAGAAGAGATAAGTGAAAATGTCGCGTGAGAGTAACGACAGTCGGGAAAATATATGTGATGCAGTCAGTCGGGTCCTCAAGGGTTACGATTGGACTCTCGTCCCTCCTCCGACCCGACACAATGATGCTGATAAAAGAAGACCCCATATTAAACGACCCATGAATGCTTTTATGGTATGGGCCCAAGCGGCACGAAGGAAACTGGCCGATCAATACCCTCATCTACATAATGCCGAGTTGAGTAAGACTTTAGGAAAATTATGGAGGTAAGCGAGCACTTATCTAAATATCCATAATTAATTTTTCTCAAACTCTTACTCCCATGTCTAACCTTAATTATATATTCTGAAATTTAATGTATTTTTTTTTAAGTATAGGGTACGTTTATTTCCTTCTCCTTAGAGTATTATTTGTTTATATGGCCTGTATCTGTGCATAACAGAAAATGTATTTAAAATGCATTTTAAATTATTCCAAATTTCGGGTAAAGATTTTCACCTCTAAACGCTTGAACAATACTCAGAAACTCTGAATTCTCCAGAAAATATATTTAAAAAGCTATTATAGTGCCTATAGTTTAAAATACCATAATTATTGTGAAATTTGGAGGGGGAAAAACTGTTTAAATTAGCCTGATTCTGCAGATAAGGACAGAATACTCACGTAACAATTAATATATTAAACAATTTAAACATTTAAATATAAATTATAACTTGTATACCCTATACAGAATTAAATAATAAGCATGTAAACTTCGGATAAACACGATTTTAATCCAATTTAAACGCATAATTTCAAAATTTCTAATGAATATACTTGCACTTCATAAAGGAACATTAATTAATTAGCTTCAAGTTCATTCAGTTTAAAGGATGCATCCGAGCCTTATTTTCAGTTGTATCATTTTTAGAAGGCTCTTACTGAAGGACCCAACTAGATTTTTCCCTCCTAAAATCCTTAAACTGCGTATCAGTTTCCTATTAAACCAATTATTAGGAACATGCTTAACTTTCTTAGCTTACACTATTGAAAAATATCCTCTTTCAGGATGATACAGTTTATCTGAATTAATAAACCAGGAAGGACATCGATAGGTAATCAGGATTAACTGATAAATGCTTATTACTGATAACGATAAAGTAATAATAGCTCAACAAGTTTACAGTTTTAAATCCTATTAATTAATTAATTAATGCCTAGAACTTAATTTAAAAATATCCCTTTTTAAAATTAATATCTAAGGCTTTTTAAATAGGATTAATGCCTAATAAATTCTGTATAATGTAAGCAATAAATAACATTTATTGATTTTATATAAATTAATATAATATATTTATCCTAAAGAAAAAAATCTTTAGTATAAATTACTTAAATTATTTTAGGCCTATTAACAAGAAATAATTTAAAAAATTAACATTATTATAATTCAATAAACATTTATAATTATTATTATTATTCAATACATTATTCTATTATAACCGAGCTTCTTACGAGTAGATAGGCCTGTTATTTACTTATCTAAGGCCCCAGCATATAAAAAATACTATAACATTTATTTAAATAAAGATTTTTTTCCTTTTAATGTACAAGAAATGCCATACATAGAATGAGTAATTTGTGATAAATATTTTAAAGCCTCATATTATTATAAAATATTCAGGTCCTATACTGTAATAGCTCTACAGTAATAGGGCCTGAATATTAACTTACAAACTACAGGCATTAAATTCGTCTATTTTTAATAATTAATTGTCATTTATAATAAAATCTTTTGAAAATATTTCTTTTAATCTGTAGATATTTATAACTTAAAAATTGAATTGTTAAACAGGTTTTTATTTTTACTTTCTTTTTTATTTTCAATTGCTCTTCATCCAGCAATTGCTTTATAAATGATCAAGCGTAAAAATTGATTGATTTTATTTATAAATAAAGCAAATAAAACGAAAATACAAATTAATTTTATTCTTTAAATCATCTATTATTTATATTTAATTGCATTATTCCCTTCTTTAAACAGTAAACATTTTTATATAAGGAAACTTTTTAAATGATTATATTTAGTAAATTTATAAATATTTTAAGTTTTAAAATAAGAAAATAAGCATAATTTTTAAAGAAAATACATTTTAAAAAGGTTATCTATAAAGTAAGAAATGATCCTTTCGTATAATGATCCGTATAACTCGTTTAAACGTAGATATAATTGAGACGTATGTTTGAATACATTACATTTTTAAAGAGCATCTAGTGTTCCTAATAAGACGATTTCAACAGTCAAGAGCAGTCTTTCCTCAGTGGCTTCGATATTAACTGAAGGGGGGAAAACAATGAGCATTAGGATATGGGAAAAAAAAGCATAGTTGTTGTTCGTGCGTGATGCGTGAAATGCTTGCCTTGTTGAAACTTGTTTCAACGCTTCAAAACAAAGTTCGGCTCCTTTGTCGATCTGCTTCCTTCTCTTTACCGAACACGACATCCTTCATCTGTTAAATATTAAACAATAAAAGACATTTTGCCATATTTGATATCTCTATATAATGTTTAATAGATTTTCTATACGCTTCTTTCTCTCTACTTAACACGATTTCTTTTATGTATTACATGTTATACAATGGGGGAAAAAGTAACATTATTCCATCTTTGATGTCTATTTATGGTCTTCTTTTTATGACTGAACACGACATCCCTCATCTGTTAAATAATATACAACAAAAACATTCTGCCATCTTCGATCTTATATTATTTAACAGATGAAAGATGTCGTGTTCAGTCACGAAAAGAAACCTATGGACAAGTTATATAGAGACATCAAAGTTGAAAGAATGACATTTTATTGTATAATAGGCAATAGATAAGAGAGATCGTGCTCTGTGAAGGCAACGAAGCACATAGATACATTGAAGATGGCAGAATATTGTTTCACTAAGCACGGTATCACATATTATACAATAAAATCTTATTCTTTTACCTTTTTTGTCTCTATACAGCTTGTCTATGGGCTTCTCTTTCACACGACGTCCCCTATTTATGTCCTTTCTTCCACCTTCTATATAGTCTAATAGCGTATCTGTGTGTTTCTTTATCTCCACTGAACATGATATTCCTCATCTATTAAATATTATAAATAAAAACACCATTCTGTTAGTGAGATGTCTCTATATTCGACAACACATATATATCTTCTTACCAAAAAATGAATAAAGTAAAGCAGGTAAAGCCTCTTACATACCAGCTTAAGTCTCTCGATATTATATAAACAAAATATCAAATATTTGTTGGTAAAATAACCAGCTGTAAGTCGTAAATAATCTAACAAGAGGGCACCGCAAATAAGATAGCCATAAATTATTTATATATATATTTTTTATAGTAAAAAAAGAATCTAACCCCGTTACTAGTTTATAGAGCAACTTACGAGTATAAACTTTCAGCAGATTAAAACTTGATTCTCATCCATATTTCTGTCTTTCAACACCGTTTGATTTGAGTCTCCTTTTGAAAAGCGGCAAAGTTTAAAACTAAAAAAAAAAAAAAAACAAAATTTAAAAAATAAGAAGGAAAAAAAAAACAGCATAACTCAGACGGTCCTTCGTGTGTCAACATGAGTGGATACGTCTATCAGTGTATCTGACGCCATTAAGACAGGCGCCGGTTTATCTTATAATTATCATTTCTTGTCTAATAGTAAACTACACAGCTTATTATGAAGATAAGGCCAGAGACCACCAAAAACGTTTTCTTCTCTCTCTTCCCCCCCTTTTTATTTCTCAAATTCAACAGCGGGTTTTTAAAGAGCGCTTCTTTCTCACTTAGTGCTTAGCACTTCCTTCTTACATAGTGTTTTACTCTTCCTTCTTATTTAGCGCTTAATGCTGCTTCCTTACTTAGAGCTTAACGCTTCCTTCTTAGCGCTTAAAGCTGCTTTCTTGCTTAGCTCCTAGCGCTTAATGCTGCTTTCTTGCTTAGCTCCTAGCTCTTCTTTCTTCTTTTAACATCTTTACTTAGAAAAGATGAACTTTTTAAAGATATTATAAATACTGTATATAAATATTACATTCCTGTGAACCGTGGAACGTTTCACACTTGACAAAAATCACACTTTTTGTGATGCGTGTAAAGTTTAATCGCGCGTACAGTTCAGAAACTTTTCTTAGAATGACTTTTCTTTCGCATGATTGATTAATAGTAATATTTCACACTTAAAAGAGTGCTAAAATTTCTATAGAATTAGATTTAATATCACGTGACCTGCCATGTAAGGATTTTTACGGTACGTCACCCCTGAACTATAAGACACTACAGAATTAAAAATAAAACGTGCTAACTACCTATCTGCACCCTTCATAAAACAAAATTTATATATTACAGTCTGATTAATATAGATTCAGACCAGAATTGTTAATCGTGTATTGTTGTAACCTGTATTCAACAATTATTCTACCAGCCATAAACAAATATTCTAATACGCTCCAGATTAAAAAAAAAGGACATGTCCTGCTGAGGGGGAAAAAAATACGTTCTAGACAAAGAATGTTCTTGTATGGGCCATAAAGAATGTTTTATATCTTTAAAATGAAAAAAATAATCCTATAATCTGAGCATTTGTAAAGTTTTAAATGGCCTACAGTCTGCATTTCGACACGTATGTCCCATTCGTGACTTATTATGCAGGTTTCAGTTGAAGGTTGTTTAACTCTTAAACTCTACTACAACCCTTTACGACGTATTAATTATTATAAAATTTATAAATTTTCTTGATTTATATTTTATAATCTGCATAAAATAATTAAGTAAATATTGTTATTATTATTTTATGGGAGGTAGGAAAAAAAAACAACGGTGAATTGACGTTAACATTGTGGTAACGGCCAACTTGACAGCGCTTTAACATATTACCCAAACCACACACATACAAGTCTTCTAACCAATATACAAGTCTTCCATCACGTCAAAAACCAATATCTCACATGGGATACGCCGGAGGACAGTTAAACACACGTTTTGCTACTGACAGTGTGATGGACGGGTGACGAAATGGGTACATCTGAGAAGAGAATTACCTGGTCTTGTGCCAAGAAGCCTCAGAATCAGCAGATTCTTTTATGCTGTCTTCGTAGTTTTATGTCATAAAAATTAATTTTTAGATGAATTTTTATTATTTATTATACTGTAAAACATATTTTAAACATCGTTATACAACTCTAGTTCATGGAATTAATAAGTTTATACATAGATCAAATAGGGAAAAAAAGCTTAAAATGACTATCAATTTCTAAATTATTTACTACCATTTTTGAATTTTTAAAATTATAAAAGTTAAATTTTATAATTGAAGCATATTTATTTTATTTTTTTAAGCTTTTTTTTTGTAAGAAAATGATAAATTTAAGCCTATTTAAAAGTATAAAACTTAGCTAAAAGAAGACTCAAATATAAAATTAATACAGTACTGTTTATAGTAAACAGAATAAGAAAAATTTTTTAAAAATGATATATTTTCTTGTATATTTTTAAATTAATTCGGAGTTTTAGTACACATCTCATCTTCTAATAGAGGAAAAAAAGGAAAAAGTCTTGAGTAAGATGCATGGATATATTATTCAAAAAACGTGTTGGCGTTTACAGTTATTTTTATGCATAACAAAATTTGCGAAAGACCTTTAAGTCATGCGATACTTCTGTATATTTTTATAGATAAAAATTTTAAAAAAAAAATTACACGAAAATCTACCAGTAGACATCATTGAAGTTACCTTTTCCCACAAGCAAAATATAGCTACTACTAATATTGTAATTTATATTTTTGGAACATTTCTCTCCTCATCAGACTTCGAGTAAATAGGCTTTGTGGGTTTACTCTTCTCCCCCCTCTCTCAGTCTTGTGGTTCCCTAAATAAATTTTTGGATGGAAATTAATATTTCCGTGTCTTTAAAGAGTCCGAAAATACAGTAGGTGGATGCTTATTAAAACATTAACCCTTTGCCAAATCGCAGATAGTGATTATTTTTTTGCTCTTACGGGGTTTTGATATATGGGAGTCTCGAATCTCCAAATATATAAACTCATTCTGAAAATCGTCTATGCCAAATCCACTAGAAACAACGATCTCTTGTAAATGCTTATAAATATATGTGCCACCGTAACATCATATATATCAAACGACTGCAATTGACTAAAGTTAATATATCAAATAATACAACGTGGGGGATGGTTTGCCAAATGACTGCAACGCTTTATCTTTAGTGATTCATCCGAAGGGTTATTTGTGCCTTGATAGATTTCTTTTGGAAAAAAATTGTTTCTAAATCTGACCTCGGTTTGTTCTGATGGGGATAGAAATTAATGGCTTATCCTCTTAAATGTAAAGAAAGGTTGGGTAATTAGGGCCAAAATCGAGGTGGTGAGTGGCAGCTTGGCAATGATGACTCAACCACACGTTTCGAATCTATAACGACTGTATAAATAAATGTACAACCGAAGGATATTTCGGATATTTCACCCCTTTTTTCTTTATTTAAAAAAAAATAGGTGTTGCCTCATCCCTATTTTAGTACTGTTTATCGTGAATACTTACCTGAAAGACAAAGTGGATCGTAAACAGCAATTCTCACAATAATTGAAATTTAAACTCGCTTCCAGATTTCTGGCACCATAACTTTCAACGTGACCCTTCATATCGCTGCATTATTAGATCAATGATAATGTCTGTCATCACTACTCATCGGCTCTCTTGTAAATTATCTCACTTAATCCCGAATTTATAAAAAGAAAACTCTCAAATAAGGTTATAAAATACAAATAGAAATATTTTTAGTGTCGAATTTTCTAGCCAAACACATAAGATATTTTTTTTATTTATCAGGAATAACTGCAGTAAACATAATTAAAATTGCACATTTGGTTCTGATACTATACTTTTTCAAGGATTCTTTTCATATTTCAAGTCTCTGTTATGTGCCAAAATTAAGATAAACTACCACAAAAATGTTAAAAGTAATTTACTTAACGTCAATTCACTCACCATTTAAGTACATGAACATTAAATATCCACATAATTCTTAATTAAAATTAGACGTAACCCATTACTTCTCAAAGAGGACTTCATGCAAAGGAGGAAAAAAAATATCATCCTCGTTAGAGACTTAAGTAAAGAAGAATTAAAATTCTAAGATCGAAAAGATGTGATGTAATCTGAGTAAATTTTTGTAACAAAATGACATAAAACTATTTTAGATATTATTAGGAACCGGTTGAATGGTTGCCAGAAACATAATTTCTGGAATCCATTTCTTCTTTCTCTTTTTTTCCACATCTCTTCTTCGGTGAGCTTCAGAAAATGGTGATATTGAAGATGAATTTGAGCTCTTATGATAGGGCCTCTAGATCATAACATAGAACATCTTGATCCCATTGTGAAAGGGCATGTTAACTCTAAAATCCCTTGTGAGAGATCCTTCTGTCTTCTCGTAAGAGGATCCTTGAAAAAACAGTTTTCTTTGAGGCCTGATATTCACGGGGGCCTTCAAGAGCATTTGTTATGAATTGTATTTCTTGTGTATTAATAACAGAACCTTTATTTTTTTTTTTTTGACAAACTTAGTGTTATATTTTTTAAATAATAATTTTTGAAACTACTCGGACTTTTCTCGAATCTGAAAAGTCCTGGCCTCTAACATAAATTTCACACGAAGAAACTTTTAATTAATTTACTTCTCTTCGATAGAAAGTACTGGATTTACTGATAAGACTAGACCTACATTGAAGTTTTCACGTGTTCAAACATATGGTGACATAGAAACTCGATCGCTATACACCCGTACAGTTTTGTATTATTACTTCATGTATAACTTTTTAAATTTATGATTTCACATGTGAAATTAAAAAAAAATTCTCCGAATTTTATAAAATCTAAATAAATAAAAGCCTACATTTTTCTTATGTTTGAGGTAAACATCGTGGATTTACGAGTTTAATAATCATAACATCGCTTAAAATTATAATCAGACATTCTTCTTTGGGTCATAAATGATAGAAAAACAAGAAAATGAAAGCTTAAAATTTGATTAATTTCAGTTTTCAAGACATAAAAGTTAAATTTTTAAATATTTTCTTGTCCTAAATAACTCGAAAAACCCTATTTTTTTGCACAATAAGAGGGCCTTTGATAGTAGAATTATATAGATATAGGGCGTTGGACATGTGCTTGATTAATTCAGATAAATTTTCTGAATTGTTTGACGTTTACGTAAACTTATTAGGATGTCTAAGTACTGTTTAGTAGCCTTAGGTTCATATAATTACACTCCCTTTAGGTAGATTCTGACATATTTAGGTTCTCTTGATGAGTAATTATCCGAAAACAATGGGTTCAAAGGTCGATATAATTTTTTTTCGCGTGTATTTACTTTAATTTTCTACTCTGTACGCTTCAGATTTGGTCAAAAAGTAGGAAAAATTAAATCGGCACATGTCTTTTTATAAAAAAATTCATGAAAAAAAACACACAAATAAAGTTTAAGAATTTAAACATTCTTTTATGTAATGTTTGTTACGAGCATTAATCTTAAAAATAATCATCAATCTTAACTGAGAAAGTTCATCCTCTAAATGGCATAATGAGCACGAAATTCAAAATCTTAGAGAAAAACATTAAGCTGAATTAGAGAGAAGTAAAAGAACAGGAAATGTGTTGTAAATAGACTTCCATCTGTTCCAAAACATTACCGAGCCGTTCCTGTTATGTGGGGAGGTATTTCTGTCACCAACCCACTCCACTGGTATGTTTTGCACGTTTTATGGCTGAAGAATATTTAACATTATACCGACGATGGCTAAGGATTTTGTAAGTATGGCCACATTCCTTCTTCCATTGCTACAAATGCAGGTACACATCACTATGTCTCTATACAAACCTTTCTAACTTTGAAGTTACATTCCCTTAAAAGAAACGTTAATTAAAATCGATTTTATTCTCAGGTTGCTGGGGGAAGAAGAGAAGAAACCTTTCCTAGAGGAAGCTGAGAGATTAAGAGTGGTACATAAAAGCGAACATCCAGATTATAAGTATCAACCGAGGCGCAGAAAGCAAAAATCTGATCGAATCCGTCCGTCTGCACCTTCGTCTCAAGTGCAAGGAGCAACTGTTATTTTTAGGTAGGCCCCGGACAATTTAAAAAGTAACTTCACTAGATCGAATGTACTTTCGTCAAATTAGAAATAAACACTTTTATTTTTTTAGATGCCTAAAATCGAGCAAATCAGATAACGAAGTCCATCCAACTAGTCCACCAACGCCTCCGACTACACCGAAGCAGACAGAAATTTCAAACTCTAACGAAAAACAGAGAACTTCTATAGCTAAACCGGGTAAAAATATACATCATAAACACGATTTATAATTTAAAACACGGGGAATTCTTATAATATTTTACAAATTTTCAGCGGAAACATCCAACCAGAACCATCCGATAGATTTCAGCCATGTTGATGTCGGTCAATTAACGAGTGAAGCCGTAGATTGCTTAGACGAATTGGATCAGTATCTTCCATCTCAGACATACAGATCGACTGCTAACTGGTCGGGATGGTATCTTCCACCATTTACAAATGGCTCGGAACCTAATGGCTATCGTTTCTCATCTTCTAAGTTGGATCCTTCTTCCATCAACGAGCCGTTGGCCTCCGAACCAAAGGACAATCTACAGTCAACCAAGTATTATGACCTGACTAGGTCGTCCAGGTCAAATACCCATTCTGTATACAATGAATACGCCAATCAGCAAGCTTATTACAGTTATTATTCTGATCAAAATTACCAATCGTATCAAAAAAATGGATATTGCGACCAATGGTGATACACGACGATGGAATTCTAAGCTTTATCTATATTTTAAAAACCGAACAGTTCAAATTTTTAATCGATCGTTCTACATATTTTAAGAACTTTTATATTATGTAGGTATGTATCATACATTTATACGACTAATTAGTAATGCTAGTTTGCTACATAAAAAATTATATATGGTTTTTCTTTTTTTTTTTTTAAACTGTTAACCACGTAAATATGTATAGAATCAATTCTGTAAATAAAATCTATTTTCTCACATTTATTCTTTATCTGAGGTAGTAATTTAAGAATAAGGAACATGCCAGTCACCTTCGACTATCTGGAATCTAACTACAGCAAGAGGTCTCATCAGAGTGCGATAAGTCACCGACAGAAACACAAAAGGGAAAAAAGTAGAAGGTCATGATGTAGCGAAGGATAGATTTACAGTAGCTGCTCGGATGAGATTACACATGGCGGCTGAGAACAAACGACTCAATTGTATGGTAACGTCGTATGACATCAAACAAACGACTGCTTCGTAAATAAAAATACACCCTTAACTATTATTCCATATATAGTAATTTCTTTAAAAATCAACTATTAAATTTGAAAAAAAATAAAATAAAATAGAAAAGAGAAAAAAAATCAACTTTGACAGCCCAATTATAAATAAAAGAGATTGGTTTCTTAGTAGTAACGTTCCCTACCTCGGGTTGTTACTATGTTAGTAACTGTTCGAATGCGAAATAGCATTTACGATAGAGGGTCCCTTCCTCCGACAACAGATGCAAAACTGTCGTTCCACATATATCAACTTATATACGGTGAATAGGAGAACAAAATGATTTAACATCCCATTTTTTTTAATGGTAAATTGCACTTTATATCATATGTAACTATAACAGTTTACAAAAACTTTGATTTAAAAAAAAATAACCGTCTAAAACTTTATTTTTGCTAGCTGTAACACGAGAAAAGATGTTTCTAATGAGTAAAGTAATAAAAAAAAGAAAAAAAATGGCGATCGGCATCTGCTTTTATAGATAAACTTACGCTTGTTTCTTCGCAGATTTTCGTAATTTACACAGGAACACGGGTATATAACTAATGGAAACACAAGCTGGAACATTATCTTACCACGAATCACGTTAATTATCGCTAGTATAAGGGTGCTAGAGGTAGAAAAATTGAGAACTTACCAAGTATTCGGGTTCGTGACCAGAAACGTAACTATCGTATGAGGTCAAGCGTGAGCACAAAAATTATTAGATTTAAAAAATATATAAAAAAAATAACCATTTCAGGAGCGAAAATTTGATAAACACTTCTCTTAAGTGTAATTCTGATGATTCGGAATTGAGTTAAAACATATATTTGACGCGTTATAATGTTTACGTCGCATGTTTAATGTGAAAGAAACCATGATCATGATTTATGTTTTTCTGTTTACAAACAAACATCCCACAAACATAGATAAGAGAAATGTGCTTAATGTAAAACATAGAAAATGAAGGAAGTAAATCGTCAAAAAAACGTAAAAGACCGGAAATTTTTCTTTAAATTGAGTAAGGAAAGATGTTCTTGTACGTACACAATTGTTACAAATTCGTAGTAATTGTACATAATGACTGCCTCGTACATGTGACCTCGACAGTTGGACTAAATTACAGGCAAAATACTAAATAAACATAAAGATACAAATCTTTTTTTTCTTAACAGCAACTTTCCAAAAATTTTCTCTTCTCGTACAACATCTGGAAGAGAGCCTACAACAACACCATGGTTAATCTGTTGACTTTACCGCATATAAACCATATCTTTTTTTCCCCCCTTTTATCAATAAAAAAAAAAAAAATTAAACTAACCGTCGACTAATTGCAACGGGGTAAGTACTAATTATATATTTTTAAAATATAAGCAATGAGAACATGAAATTTTTAAGATTTTTTTTATAGTAAAAAAAAAAATTTTTGGAATGTTTATAGAGAAATTTTAACGATGTTTTCAAGTAATTTCTTTTAATTTTTTACGGTTAAAAATAGATTTATTTTTTTTTATGATTTAAAAAGATAAATTTAGCAAACTTACCTATCGAAGCGTTAGACTTGTTACCTTCTTTATCAATAATAATCTTCGTGAAAACGACGAAACGACAACAAAATCAGCTTTCACAATGATCTCAGATATCATAACCATCTGGAAAATCATTGTGAAAACCAGTTTTGTCTAAGAATCTTCATATAAATATATTCCATTCTTCATTTCTTCCATTCTTTTTATTATTATTATTATTATAATCCTCTCCCTTTCTTCTTCTTTATTATATATAAGCTATATATTTTTTTTAAATTTTCGAGCCAATTTCTTCGATAGAATTCTTGAATTAATTTATTCAAAATTCAAGCGGAAGTCTATTAAATAAAAATGGTTTTTATTACGCTGCCAAGTAATTATCCTTGAAATTCGGAATTTCTGTTTAGGAAACTCACTGAATTTTAACAACGTCCGTGACCCTATAACACAATTAAATATATTTTTTGATTGATATTTACATAAACAAGATAAACATAATTCCATTAAGGTCAAGCATCCGGATAATCAAAATGTCTCTCTTTTACTGGATTATCTCACTATTATATGACCTTGATTACTTTAGGTTTTCGATAAAAGACACGAGATGGCGTTCGGGAATTATATTATAACTTTTTATATTTTTTTAAGGATGTTTCTATTCTAAACTTTTAAATAGTAAAATTATTTATAAAATATTTAAGAATTTTTAGAAATATATTGATTTATATTAAAATATTTTAAATATTTTTTAATTATCATAAGTTAAATCTGAAATATTTTTTTAAACACCGTAGATTTCATTTACATAAAGTTCTATAAATATTTTGGTCGAAGCGTGTTAAGATTTTCGTGATTGCTTATTCGTAGCGAGTCCTGATTTTAGATAAGAATAATTCCTACTTAAAATTATACAGTAAGTTCTCTCTGTAATTTCTAAAACATAATCCGTAACTACATAACACCAATTTTTCATTTCTTAACAGATTAAAAGCTGAAGAACTACATTTAGTAAGGTTGCATCTCGAGTTTCATCACCGTAGCGTACAAGTTTATACCTGGTTTCACGCCGAAAAACCTTGAAATCTTAATAAAGGACCAAGTCTCACGCGTAAATTTAGACCTTTCTAAATATCACTCGCAAATATAAGCGTAGGAATTGCCATTAAATAATGCGCTCTTTTGTAGGATGGGGGAGGTGAGAGTAGCAGGAGGAACGTCGGGAGACCATGAAACAAAATTCAACTTACCTCGCTAGTTTATGACTAAGTTTTGAGCAGTTCTTAGTAAAGTAAAATGGAGTCAGAACCACTAAACTGTGGTATGCATACCACTTGATCCACACTTGTCCTAAAGTTCTTGTCAATTGTTCTCTTCACTTCTCTAAAACTATGTTAACTGCAAACAATGTGTAAACATTTTAGTATGTTACTGATATATAAACACTACACTCAAGGGCGAGATATATTTTACATTTTCTAAAACGAAACTGACGATGGCGAAGATTGTGATCCATTGCAATGAAGTCCTTTATAATTTGGAAAAAAGATAAATAAAATCTCGAGAAAATTTCTGCATTTATTTCTTTCATTATTTCAAAGTTTACATAGGATATAAGGAGCCAGCGATAGATTGTTGATAAAAGCTAAACATGTAAAAAAAAAAAAAAAACCTCACATGGCTTCTCTAATAAGCCAAACTCCTTCCAAGAACATGAAATGTCGACGACCTTAAAACTGGATAGATCGTTTTCCTTACGACCACACCCGTAAGAGGTGCGGGGGTGAAGACGTCACGTGACTGTCCGCGCTGACGTAACGATCACCACAATCCCCTAATTCAGTTACGTAATTGGTAAATAACTCGAGAAAACGGGGATTTTAAGTAAAAATTTTCAAGGATTTATACCATTGTAAAATTGAAAACATTCGTGTATTTTTGTGTATGTGTGTGTGTCCATTTACTCCGGTGGATTCATAACATTAAAATGCTGATGTCGGAATGTTCCCAGTTATGGATCGACCTGTGCTGCGGCTATAAATCTCTCTTGTAGTTCGTTGTGTAGTGTTAGTCGGTGCTTTGATGTGGTTTGAGTGCATAGGTAGTAACGTTGCCTCACCTAAAGGCAAAAAGTAGCTTAATGAGATCTTTCTAGTTTTTTTTCTCCCCCTTCTCAAAGTTTTATATTAAATATCTTTGCGTTCAGACGGAATAATAAAATAAACAGTGGCTAGGATTGTTAAGATATTGCTAACAGTAAATAAATGAGTTTCTACTTCAAAAACTCCCATACTTCTTTATTGAATGTATATAGAATCTCATTACCTCGGGCTACATTATTACTTCATAATTTAAAATTATAAACCATGTGGATAATTGAGATTTTGCAGAAAGTTATCTACAAGAAAACTAATAATATTTTACCTTATTTTAGATAATGTAGGGAAACTTTTTTAACTGTTATAATGAGTTCTTCTATTAATTAAGAAGTAGATCTTCATTACAGAAGCAGAATGGACTTGTAAAATTCCATTAAATCGGCTCTCTTTAAAGTCTCAAACGTGCCAACGTCTAGTTTAAAAAAAAAAAAAAAACTATACCAAATATGGCATAAATATGCAAACTGGATGCATGCGACATCTTCCTTGTTTGTTTGTTTTTTTCTACACCGAATTCCTCACTTCTAAATTAAGCTAAAAATCGATATTTATTTACAATTATGGATATTTTTCGATCGTACAAATACGTGTATAAGTTCTCAACTTCTCATCCGGGACTTGACACGGTGACGTCAAAGGATTGACCTTTTCGATAGTTGAAGTGGTTGTGACGCAATGGCACCACAAGACAGCGGATCTGCATCTCCGTAAAGTTATCATCTTACACTAAAGGCGACACGAAAAAACCCTCAGCGAGTATAGTGAGTGAGTTATGTCTGTTGAATCTACCCCAAAAGAGAAATATTTAAATAATTCTACTAGACAGTATATAAGGGTAGAGTGAACTTTAAGTATACGAAACAACCTTTCCTAGTCATATTATCCTGTCACTGACTGTGATCAATGTTATGAAAACACAGCTGTCTTCCCAGATCAGATAACGAACAAGTAGATTTGAGCTTTCAACATAGTTCACCATCTTATTACGTTATCTAGAAAGAGGTAGACTGAAGAAATGCAACTCTTAATCTTTTAGTCAATGACTAG